ATATATATATATATATATATATATATATATATATATATATATATATATATATATTTAAATATATGATTACGAACTGCAAATACAATTTCTTAATTACTAATATATATATATTTCCGATAAAAAACAATAACATACACATATATAAACAATTTTCCAAGTTATACAACTAATATATTTACGATAGAAAACAATATCATACATAATTATATAAACATTTTATTAAACATATTTTCAACTTAAACGACAAACATATCAACGATAAATATTCAACTTAAACAAATTTTCAACTTAAACGACAAATATATAAACAATTTTTATCTTTCTAATTAAAACTAACATTTTATAACCATATAAACAAAAAAAATTTAAAAATAAAACGACAAACAAACTAACAATTTTGCAAATTATACGACAACTTTATACAAATTTTCAACTTACACGACAAATACAAACAATTTCTAACAATATATATACAACAAATTTTCAACTTATACAAATGTTATACTTATACGACAAACACAAATAATTTCTAACAAAATATATACGACAAATTTTGAACTTATACAAATGTTATACTTATACGACATAAATATATACAAACGACTATTTTGCACTTTATATAAACAATTATACGATAAGAATATACAAGATTTCAGGTTATACAACAACTAAAAAAACAACAAAAATAACAAATTGTAAACATTATCTACGCAGTCTCTACTTGTCTCTACTTGCATTTAAACTTCAAGTATACTAAAAAAATATTAAAACTATCAAACACAACAAAATTACCCTTTTTTAACACTAAATAATACAACAATGATAAAATAAAGAGATTGTTGACATTAAAAGAGTTAAAATCTAACCATATTTGCGGGATTGTTGACATAATCCTCCATTTTCTTCAAAAACTAGCCAAAATTCCGAGAGAAGCCCAAAGTTAGAGAGAGTTTTTGTGTAGAGAAGGGTGAAAAATGAAGAAAAAAAAAAAACGTTTTTATAGTCAAAATCGAGGGCATTTCGCAGATGACAAGCAATTTCGCAGATGGGGCTTCTCATCTGCGAAAGTACAAGTACCTAAAGCATAACTGTGTTTTAGGTACTTGTACTTTCGCAAATGAGAAGCCCATTTCGCAGATGAGACCTTCTCATTTGCGAAATGGGTGGCCATTTTTGTAATTTCGATTTTTTTTGGCTATTTTTGTAATGCAATTAGTGTAAATGGTTATTTTTGTAAATTTCTCTTAAAAAAAATCAAAACAAACGGTTATAAACAAAAACAACGAACTCGGGAATAACATTGACATTTCTTTAAAACGGGATACCTCAAATGAAAACAAAAATAATCCGACAGTAAAAATTAAAGGGGAGAATTTCGTATATATCTTTATTAAACTTCTAAATATCGTATTTGTCCGACTTAAACTCTAAATATCATATTATCCCTTTTAACGTTTTAAAATATCAGATTTGCCTAAATCTATTTTTTAAATAGTTTTTATTATTTAATAGTTTTCTTTTTATATTTTAAAATTATTGAATATAAAAAAGGTAACTAAATGGACCTTAATACTCTTGCTTTCTAAATCAGATTCCCCTTACATACTTCTATATTGACTACACGATCAATCATCTTTAACCCTGCGTCTTTTTTCCGACTTCTCGCAAATTCTTTGTTGTAGTTGGCTACACCAGTACACCATTAGGTAATTACATGAAAATGAAATTGGGAGCAAGGATATAGAAACACAATGTTCAAAATGAGATAAACTTGTTAATTTGAATGCCCCTTCCTACAATTTTGTGGATGAGAACACAATAGTTAATGAGTATCAAGGACACGGAGAAGCATCAGAAGCGATACATTTGACTTTGTAGATCATTTTCTATTAGTTAGTGTTGTAAACTTATTTCCATAAGTCAAAATTTTGAAATATGATGGACCAAGATCACCTTATAGTTCATGTGCAAAAAGGTCCCAAAAATTGGCAATGAAGACCATATTTATGATCGAAATTGGTGTTTCAACATTCGATTGTGATAGTGATCATGAGAAGGGGGGAGGGTTCTTTTTGAAAAATAAAACAGAACTTTGACATATAAGAGATAAACATTTGAGTGAAAGATTTAAAGAGATACTTCAAGATTCATCCAATTTGCTCCCGATTCCATTTTCATATAATTACTTGATAATGTAGCTGATTGCAACAAAGGATTCGCGAGAAGGTGAAAAAAAAGACGCAAGGCAAAAGATAATGATCGTGCATAATTTAGAAGATAAGGGGTATTATGGTCCATTTAATCATTTTTTTTTTTTTGATGATTTTAAAATATAAAAAATAACTATTAAAAAATAAAAACTATTTAAAAAATAGATTTTGATAAATTTGATATTTTAACATTAAAAATAACAAATATAATATTTAAAATTTAAATCGGATAAATATAATATTTAGAAATTAAAAATAACAAATATGATATTTAAAATTTAAATCGGATAAATATAATATTTAGAAATTTAATAAAGATATATACGAAATTCTTCCAAATTAAAAACTCATGAAAACTAGATTTAGAAAACGCTTTTCTTAAACTTTTGGTTTTCAAATCACACTAACTAAATATGAAATTCATTTTTAACATCCATGTAAAAAATAACAAAAAGTACAAAACTTTGTGTTGGATAAATTACGAAAGTTTAACATGTGTACAAATTAGAAAAATAATACTAATAAAACAAAAAGCACAAAGGATGGGCCCAAGTCAAGAGTATAGGTTGTTAGGTGAAACTATTGTTTGGCCTACTTTGACTACCTGGTGGTGTTCTGTGGATCACATGTTTTATGGGCCAAACTTTATTAGAATAAACTAATGAAACACTAATGATGTTAATAGCTATTATATAAAAGTGGAAAAAAAATTAAAATACTTTTATTTATTTATTATTATTTAATCTAAATTGAAAAGTTATTAAAACAGTCTTAACATTTTTGTTGATGATATTTGTGAAATGGATGGAGTTTGTGCGAAATCAAATGAATTTTCTCATATTCACTTTGCGAAAAAAAAGGATTTCTTTCACCTTTAAATGTATGAATTTTCAGTAAATTTTAAGCAACTTAAAAAATTAAAATTTGAAGTTTTTTTATTTTTATTTTTTTAAGGTTGTGTTTTGCACGCTACATCCCGATAACAAGTTAGTTTATTTTTTTTGAATATTTTTAAGTTGTGTTTGGAAATTCAAAAAACTGCTTATAAGCTAGCTTTTTAAAAAAACTACTTACGTTATGTTTGACGTACTAGCTCAAAAGTTAGCTGATAACTGAAAATGTAGCTGTTAAATAAAAAGTTAGTTGATAGCTGAAAAACTAACTGATAAAAAAAATAAAATTTGGTAAAATTAGTTGTAAAGCTAGCTGAAATATATAAAATTACATAAAATGATATTTAAAAGTATTTGTTTCTATAATTAATTAAATGGTACATTTAGAATTTTTTTTTAAAAAAAAACTCCTAAAAAACTAGTTTAAGTAGTTTTTCAAAAAGCTAGCTTATAAACTACTTTTTGACTGGCCAAATATGACAATATAAAAAAACTCGAAAAATAAGCTAGTTTATTAGTTAGTTGTGGCGCACCAAATACAACCGTAGACTAGTTTTTTAAGAGTCTTTAAAATAAATTCCAAATATATCTCTTAATTAATTATAAAAACACATTAGTTTAAATGTCTTTTTGTGTTATTTTATATTTTTCAGCTAGCTTTTCAGCCAGTTTTACCAAGCGACATCTTTTATCAAAATTTTGAACTTATTATTATTATTTTAAGGTTGTGTTTGACGCGCCACATCCAAATAAAAAGTTAGTTTATTTTTTCGAATTATTTTAAGTTGTTGTATTTGGCAAGTCAAAAAAACAGCTAATTTTTCAGTTAACAATTAGTTTTTCAGCTAATATATAAAACATATAGTCTAAGAATCTTTAAAAACCTTTTCCACAACAAAATGAATTTCCTCATCTTGATATTTACAAGAAAATGGATTTCTTTACATTTGCATATGAAAAAAAAAAGATTTCCACTTCTAACATCAATGGAAAATTGATTTCCTCACCTTTAAAAAAAATCATTTTTTTTTTCGTGTTAGAGCTTAGAAATTGTCAAAAAGTATTTACATAACCCGTCATTTTGATTAGAGTCATAAATTCAGACTCTTTAAAGAGCTGGAAAGGTTACAAACTTTGACATTATAAAGGGTTCGGAAATGGAATGAGATACCACTTGAATTGCTAGAAAACATTGAGAATTGAAGGAGAAATCGATGGAGTAAAATTGTGAAGTTTTTTTCGAAGTTCTAGCAAATCAAGGTATGTTTTATAACTTTAGTTCAAATTAGTTGTATAAATAGCCTAAGGTTATGTGTTACAAGGTAGGGATTGATTCTATGTCTTTGTTTCGGCCAATGAAATGATTAATTTGAAAAAATATATACATTAAGTTTTTGTAAAGAAAATAATGAATTTAAGAGCATTGTGGTGAGTCTTCAAAAATTAATTGTGGCTTTAGAATACCGGCAAGTGGAGAAAACTAGTGTTGATATTAATATGTTTTTTGACATTATTCTAGAGTAATTCGAAGCTAAATAAAAAACTTAAAAATGACAGATTTTTCGGGTAAAGAAGAAGAGATGCTTGGTCTGTTTTCTTTTGTGGGCGAGTCAGAACGATCGTGTTTTAAAATATTTGTTTTAACCAAGTGTATTCGTTATTGTATTTTTTTTAATGCCCACGTTCGAGTCCTCCTGTCTTTTTAATCCAAATACACAAATTTCTCTTTTGACAAAATTGCAAAAATGGTCACTGTGTTTAGCAAAATTATGCGACTTTGGTCCAAAACGATACTTTGATGCACCACTGGTCCAAAATTGGATTTTTCCATTGTTTTTGGTCCCTCCCATTAACTTCCGTCCATATACTCCGTTATATGCAACAAAGATGGGGGTATTTTCGTCTTTCCACCTCCATATCATCGATTACCGCCATATTGAATGATATACACAGTTAATGACCCTTCACTCTACGCACTAAACCCACTTTGTTGATCGAAAACCCTAATCGTTCATTGAAATCTTGCATTTGATCATCAACCACAATCGTAAGTTTGAACCCACGAGTATGGTCCAAATGTGGGAAATCAGGCCAAGAAATCAGTGTTTTGATGCAATCCGAATTTACGGTAACGTACTCTGTTTCTTACATATTTCTTTGAAACAAAAAAATCTTTTACAATCCATATAAAGTAATGTTTTTTTGGTTTGGTTCATGATTTTTACAGAAGGATATCCCACGATGTTCACTATTGAGCTCCATCATGGAGGGAGGTTCACAAAATTCCCAGGGATAAGCTACATTGAAGGAAAATTAGACCATATTGACTTGGTAGACATGGATGAGTTCTCTGTGCATGAGTTGGACGAGGTGATGCTGAACCTTGGTTATGATGTACCACCAGTCATTTACTACCACTATCAATTGCCAAATGGAGATTTGGAGTTTGGTCTTAGAGCTCTAGGGAATGATATTGATGTACTTAGTCTTGCATAGTACATTGAACATCATAGATCATCAAGGTATACACTGAACATAATGAAACTAAGTTACTTACGTACTTTATGTCTCCAAGAGTTAAACCTAGGGTCATAATTGAGGAAATAGCAGATGATGTGCCCACTGCAACTGTTGGTGATCAAGAGGTCCCAAATCTTGAATTGTGTTTAGTAAGATATGAGACACCCGAATACAATTCAAATAAGAGATTGAGGTTAGTTGATGGGAGTTAATCATGTAGTAAGAAATTGTGTTTCAACTTGGAACACACTGCAACTGTTGGTGATCAAGATGCACATGTTGAAATTGGTAATGAAGGTGCAAATATTAGTGAGCAAGGTGCAACTGTTGGTGGTCAAGATACACATGTTGAAATTGGTAATGAAGGAGCAAATGTTAGTGATCAAGGTGCAGCTGTTGGTGATCAAGATACAGAAGTTCATGATCAAGGTGCAAATGTTGGTGACCAAGAAGTAAATACAAGAGAGTTTGATACCTTTGATGACCAACCATTTCAATTTGAAGACTTTGATCCTTTCTTTGATCAATATACTTTTAATGATGGTAATGATCAGAGTATGGGTGTTGGTGCAGAACTTGGCACAGGACTAGGGGAAGTTAAATTTGAAAGTGAGGGAGTTTGTGAAGGACTTGGTGAAGGAGGTAGTGAAGGGGGTAGTGAAGTGAGTGAGGAAGACAATGACTTTCTTGAAGATGAAGAAAACTATGTAAGTGATATTGAGGTGGACAAGAGTGATTTCTATATGAATGTTGATCTAGATGTTGAATATGTTGACAGAGGAAAAGGTGTTGAGACTGAAAATGAAGTTGTTGATACAGAAGATGTTGAAGATGTTGAAGTAATTGATAATGATGAATGGGACTCATTAGGTGAAGATAGTGATGATGAAAGAAGGAAAGCAATATTAAAACAGATGGTGAAGGAGAAGAAGTGCTCTCTTGGTGAAGTCCATACAGTTACTTTTCAAGTGGGTCAAAAGTATAAAAGTAAAAAGGAAATTAAGGACAAAGTCAACAAACTTGCCATTGAGACTAGAAGGAATCTTGACTTCAAGAAAAACGACAAAACAAGGCTTAGGGTTGTGTGTAAAGGTAATGTACCTAATGTAAATGCAAGTGGGGTAGGTAAGGGCAATAAATTAAATTGTTCTTGGTCAATGCAGACTTCACGGTCAAAAGATAGTGATTATTGGTATGTGAAAACTTTACTGGACAAACATACTTGTGTTCAAACTAGAAAACTTAGGGCTTGCACTGCGAAGTATATATCTGCAGAAATCTTAGACATGGTTGAGTCTAACCCTACAGTACCCCTTCGAAGCATTCAAGAGCAAGTTCAGAAGAGGCTTCAAGTTGGTGTGTCCATACACAAAGTACAGAGAGCAAAAGCAACAACTACAAAGCAAGTGAGTGGTGACTACACAAAGCAATACGAGGTGTTAAGAGATTATCTTATGGAACTACAAGCAACTAATGTGGGTACAACTGTGAAGCTTGAGGTTGTTAATGAGCCTAACAGTACTAGAGAAACAAGGTAGTTTAAAAGGGTGTATATTTGCTTAGGGGCATTAAAGAAAGGGTTTAAAGCAGGCTTAAGAGATATTCTAGATGGTGCTTTTATGAAAGGACCCTTTCCAGGCCAAGTACTCACAATAGTTGGATTGGATTCAAATAACGGCATATACCCACTTGCATATGCCATTGTTGAGATTGAAAATATGAGTAGCTGGAAATGGTTTCTAGAATGCTTGGGAGATGACTTAGAGTTGTACTCAAATTCTAACTCTGCTTTCATGAGTGATAGACAAAAGGTACTATTTTCTTCTTTTTGTATTACTAATAGTTTATTTGTATATGATTGTTGCAATGATTATGTGAAATAATCCTTTACAGGGACTCTTACCTGCTATTGCACAACTATACCCACAGGCTGAGCATCGATTCTGTCTAAGACATATTTATGAGAACATGAGGAAAAAATGGAAAACAAAAGAGTATAAAGATCACTTATGGCAGTGTGCAATAGCAACCACAGTACCAGAATTTGAACACTACATGAATGAACTTAAAAAGTTTGATAAGGATGCTTTTGAGTGGTTGAAGAACCCCCCCCCCCCTCTCACCCATTGGGCCAGAAGCCACTCTTCAGGTTATATTCCCTAACTTAGGTGAAGCTTTACTAGTGCTCATTGTATATGGTTTAGTTCACATAATTTTCTTGTTTAATACAGGCAGAGCAGGATCAAATATATTGCTCAACAATTTATGTGAGGTTTTCAACAATAAGCTTATTCATGGTAGGAATAAGCCCATCATAAGTTTTCTTGAGTACATCAGGCAGTACCTTATGAAGAGGATTTGCAATGTGAAGAAAGTGATGTCCAAAGCTCCAAGTCCACTCACTCCAACAGCATCAAAGTTACTTGAGAGAATAGGGAAGCTTCAGTCCAATATAGAGCTAGATGGAATGGGACTGCAAAGTATGAAGGTTATGGTGCTTGGCATGACCAGCATGTGGTTGACGTGACAAATATGTCATGTAATGGTTGATAGTGGAGACAAAGTTGGGGAGCTTTACACTTATGTCAACAAAGTGTATTGGCTTCAAACATGGAATGAAGCTTACTCTTACACTGTGGATCCTATAAAGGGTAGAGCCATGTGGCCAAAAAGTACCTGTCCATTTCAATTAACACCACCACCACATCACAATCAACCTGGGAGACCTAAGACCAAGAGAAAGAGAAGTGCAAATGAAAAATATGATAAACAGATGCAAAATCATGGTGCAGGTGAACCTGAAAAACTTAGCAGAAAGTTTGTTAGTGTCAGGTGTGGGAACTGCAACAATAGGGGTCATAACTCAAGGATGTGCAAGGGTCAAGGTGGGAATGCAGGAAGCAATGAAGGAGGGAATGCAGGAAGCAATCAAGGAGGGAATGCATGATGCAGTCAAGGAGGGAATGGAGGTAGCAGTCAATGCAGGAATTAGTGTATTTTGTTTAAAAACGTATCTTTTGGTTTAGCACAACTTTTGTGCATTTGGATGTAATGGTTTAAAACTAGTTTGTTGTAATGGTTTTATTTTGGTCTTTTAGCCCTTTTGGTCATGAAACTAATGTCAACCTTTTGTCATTGTTGAAGAATGATGTTTATGGTTTATACCAACTGTTGGTTGTCATGTGTATGGAACACATTTATGGTTATAATAACTGTTTTCTGAAACAACAAATAAACATTAACATTAGGTGATAATTGCAATACATTGTCATTATATCCTTGAAAAGGGTACAAATTTCTGAAGTTGTCCAAAATAACCCTAAACTGATATTACATTATCAAATACCAAAAACTACCACATTCCCTTGTTACAATTTCATAAGACAAAAAACACCCAAAATTACATGCAACTACAGGGGTCCCTAATTGCTTATTACTAAATGAAAAGCACCCAAACCACCACAAATAGTAACCAACTTGCAAACAAACACATCTTCAATCTTGCCACTTGATAGTTTACATTGTTGATATTCCTCAATAATCCGGGTATTATCAACATAGATCGTGCACACATGGGAGGATCAATCCATCCTAAGAATCGGCATCTGGAACCCTTCACATAAAAAAATAAACCCTAAACATGAGGGTGATTTTCCAAAATGAGGGTAAAATAGCAAAATCGAACACTTACCTTTTGAGGGCAGGAAAGAAACCTCCGACCAGGGTTTGCTGATGTCCAGGAGGTGCGAACCACCGCTTCCCTACCACAAAAACACATCACCATTTTAATTTTTGATCTCTAAGAAATTGTGAACACAGAGTAGGAAGAGTATGAAGCTCGTGAAGTTGAAGATGGAAGAGTGATGTAGCTCTGCTTTTATTTTGAATAAGGTTGCAAAAAAGGTCCCTGTAAGTGGAAAGACGAAAATACCCCGGTCTTTATTGCATGTAACGGAGTATATGGACGGAAGTTAATGGGAGGGACCAAAAACAATGGAAAAATCCAATTTTGGACCAGTGGTGCATCAAAGTATCGTTTTGGACCAAAATCGCATAATTTTGCCAAACACAGGGACCATTTTTGCAATTTTGTCTTCTCTTTTTCCAAACATGTGCCATCCTTTTTCCTTCAATTGAAATTACATTACATAAATGATCCCTGCATGTTGGACACATTGGTTTCAATTATGAATTTTTTAAAGCAAGCTAACGTGTTTTAGAAAGTTGAAGTAGAGATTTTGAAGTTACAGTATTAGTCCATGTGATTTCATAAACCTGCAACTTTTAGTTCATTTCCTCATCAATTATTCGGCTTCATGATTAATCCTAGAAATTTTGATAATTAAAACTCTCTTCAATTTATTTAATAAATAGGTTATCAATTATTTATTTTGGAAATTATGAGTTTTAAACTTTAAGATATTTTTAGCATGGTAATTAAAGTATTGATTGATCGAATGAGACATATGGGTAGTTTAACTAAAATGATCATATAGGATGTTCTCTAGGATCATTGTTTTAGGGTTCTTTGTTAGGATCTGAATTTTTAAGAGATCTGAATTTCTAATAGGGTATGAAAATCTAAGAGTTGAATGTTTAACATGCTGTTTGTTTGAGACCTCTGAATTGCTGTGCTTAATTATTAAAATTAGCATTTTACTTTTTTGTTTTATTTTTATATTGAATTCAACTGTTTGTTTAGAAAATAACCTATTTTTTTTAAATACGTATTAAAAAAATATAAACACCATATAAAATCCAAATTTAGCATAAATCAAAATTAAACACAAATTCAAATCAAATATAAATATTTTTAAATCCACAAAATCGTACTAATATCCAAATAAAATCCTACAAATTTAATTTAGCCCTAATTGATTCGCAATCTGGTCACGCAAATTATCCATGTATTCATTGTCTTGTGAACCCCATTCCATGTCGTATATGTTTTGGCCATCATTCTCCCCCCTTGTGCT